CCTCTCTGCCATCCACCGAGTTCTTCCCTCCTGCTCACTAAGCACAGGGCGCAGGGACCTGGATTCTGTCCCCTAGCCTGCCAGTGGGGGTTCCTTCCCCCATCCTGCCACTCCGGGCACAGCGGGCAGAAGCCATAGGCCCAGGACCCACAGCAGCCAGCGGGGACCTCTTACAGAATTCATTCGAGGTTCAAATCCGCCTGCTTTCTATTTTGACATAGTGGACTCGCTGCTGAGCAGTCACCGTCCTTGCATCTAGGAGGGCAGGCGCTGTTTCTCCTAATCAGCTGCGCCCCCTGCCGGTAGCCCCCACTCCGCCGTCAGGGTGCGCGGCACCTGCCAGTCACTCGTGCCAGAGCCCCGAGGCAGCCCAGACCCGCCCCTGCACCCCGCGCCTCACCCGATTCTCTCCTGCTCCATCTCTTCCATTTTCTCAGCTCGAGCGATCACCCTGTTGATGATCTCCTTCTCCTCGTCTGTCAGCTCTTCCTGCTTCCTCTGTCTGTCGGGCTGACCGCTGGGGTGGACATTCCAGCCTGCCTGGAGCCTGAAAGGCAATTTGGGACGATGTGAGGCTGGACGCAAAGCCCAGCAGGCAGCGCGGAGGAGTGGTCAGGCCCTGACCCTGGCGGCTGGGAAACTCACTGTGCAAGAGGAGCTCCCCACAGCGCCCCAGCCCCAGCCGCTCATCTGCAGAGTGGGACTCAGCTTCCCTCACAGGGTTGTTTGGATTTTTTGGATACCAAGCGTTCAACCAGGGGCACTTAATCACCGAGCCACATCTCCAGCACTTACATTTTATTCAGAGACAGAGTCTTGCTGAGTTGCTTAAGGCCTCGATAAGTGGCTGAGGCTGTCCTTGAACTCACGATCCTCCTGTCTCAGCCTCCCAAGCTGCTGGGATTACATCTGATGGGAGTTTTTATTAAGTACTTGCACCTGTAGGTGCTCTGCAAGGAACATTGGCTGCAAGCTCATGGGAACCAGGAAGGTAATGACCTTCTCAGGAAGATTCCAGAGCAGACTTCCATAGCTGGACCCCTGCCTGGCAGTCCCAGCCCTGGGTCCTAGGATGACCCCAGGCTCATCTCATTTTTAAAAAGCAGAAACTGCCAGAGTTTCTGCAGGGTGCCCACATCACCTCACCGAGTCCTCACACCACCCTATAAGGCGGGGACTGTCCTTGCCCTTTTTTCCTGATGGGGAGACTGAGGCTAGAGAAATCAGGTGGTCTAGCAGAGCAGAGGCTGCTGGGAGCAGTCAATGCTGTGGCCTGTGGCAAAATCATGTCCTCTCCCCTCACACCATGGGACCCACCCAGGGTGCTGAGGAGCAGCACCCAGTTAGTTAGAACGCAGGGCTGAACACCCCTGGAAGTTCTTTTCCCCATTAGGGAAAAAATCAGTACCTCCCAAACCTCAGGAGCCAGCACCCATTAGCCACCAGTTTCGATGACTCTCCCTGCTCGTATCATGGGTCTGCAAGAAATGGCCTTTGACAATCAGAGTTGGATGAAAATCCCGCCTCCCTGTTCCCTGCTTCTGACTTCTTCCCCCTCAGCTGGGTCTTTCCCAAGAGCAGAGACGGCAGAGTTTGAAAGGAAAGGGAAGCCGATGTCTTTGGGGCCAGTCTTGTATGAGAGAGAAGAGCTGTGGCCTGGGAATGTTCTGGAAGAAACACAGGTGCTTCTAGGGGACACAAATGCAGCGCCCCCCACCCAGACTCCTCCAGCGGCATCTCATTGACTTAGAACAAAACCCAGGACTAGGTGCGCGGGCACCAGAACGCACCAGACGGCAGGACGGACCGCGGGATCTTTCAGATGGTTTCCAGGTGGGAGAGTTTGACCTGAAGAAAAATGAAGCCCAGCCTCTGCCCCATTCTGTGACGTCCTGCCTGTCCTTCCCTGTCCCGCCTCTCCGTCCCCACTGCCACCTCTTCCCCTGGGCACACGCTCCAGCCACCTCAGCCTCTGCTCACTATTGAAGCCCCAGCCTGGTTTTGGCCTCAGGGTCTCAGCCCCGGTCCCTGCCAGGATCACGGCTGTCCCAGGTCCTCCGATGTCTGGCTCCTCCTCGTGCCAGGCTCAGAGCCGCCCTCCTCCAGCCCCGGCCTGGCTTGCTTTCTCTGGCTCAAGGTATCTTTTGAATTTTTTCCTGGCTGCCGGTGTCTGCCACCCCACCCCACTGTGACGTAGAGTGGGAGGCAGCGGGGACCTTGTCTGGCTCAGAATCACTGCAGCGTCTGGAGCACGCAGATGGCGATCTGAGAGGGAGCACACAGGCAGGGCTTTGGAGGACGACCCAGGCCCCTGTGGCTGAAGGCACGTTAGCATCTCCTTGTACACGTGACTCAGGGAGGCCGAGGCCACGGAGGGCCCTCGGTCCACAGAGAGCACCCGGAGGGGCAAAGGGAATTCACTGTGATCCTGGTGACACCAAAAGGTCAGGACCTTTGTCTGGGTGGCTCCTCCCGAGCCCCTGAGATGGCCCTTTTGTGACATCTTAGGAGCCAAGGGATTACAAAAAATTGAAAAAAGGCATTTTTTGTCTTGATCCCGAGGAGATCCTCTAAGATACACAGGCTTCAGGCCCCATAGAGCTTTGGCTTTCAGGTCTGTGGAGATCCCAGACTGAGAGGGACCCAGGGAGGAGGTTGGCTCTGCACACCAAGGACGGCAAGAAGAACAGAACGGGAGCCCGCTGCAGCAGGCCCCTGGGGATCCCTGCCTCCTGGCATACGCCCCCCTGCCCCAACCCTGGGCATGACCCTCCCACATTGAATCCAGGCTGGTCCTGCATAAGCCACTAAGCACCGTGCAAGTGACCCTGGGTGGCTTCCTAGGTCACAAAGTACATGGCAGCATCTACTTGGATCTCTGGGGTTGCTTGCCCTGGGGGAAGACCAGCCCCTGGAGGGCAGACAGAGGCTGGACCAAGTCCTGTCCCTCTGTGGTGTCCGTATTTCTCTTCTGTCACTGCATAATGGATTCTTCCAAGCCGAGGGGCTTAAAGCAACAGTGTCAGGATCTCCCAGGCTCCCTGGGTCAGGAGTCGGCAGGGCTGCACTGGGTCCTCTGCTGGGCCTTCCCGAGGCAGCAGTCACGATGTGGGTCTGCTGTGTTCTCATCTGCAGGCTCGACAGGGGAAGCATCAGCTTCCAGAGGTCATTCCTTGGGAATGCAGGACCGAGGGCCCCAGGTCCCCCTGGATCTTAGAGTCTGCCTGCAGTCTCTACTCATGGGCGATTCTCCAGGAAAGGGGTCACTTCCTCTGTCCAATCCACAGGGAGAATCTCTAGTCCTGACTGCTGGGCAGTCCTATATATAACCCCCTTCCCCTTTGCTGCGTCTCGTGGGTTAGAATCCAGCCCCAGGTCCTGCCCACACTAGAGGGAAGGGGATGCTACAGGACCATGGAACCAGGAGGTGGGGTCGCTGGGGATCATCTTAAAGTCTGTCTGCCTGGCAGGGTCTCCCCATCTTTGCTTGGGTGCTCCCTGTGATGGGGTCCCTACCGTCCTGTTGGAGGGACCGTCCATGTCCTGTGCGGACACCCCTCAGCCTGGCGTTTCTGCAACTGCAGGCAGGTGTTCTGGGAGGGGCCTGAGGACACCCCAACACAGGGTGTCTCCCGGTCGATGGAGACCAGGTATCCCTCCTGGAAACCCTGGTCACGACCTAATCCAGCCCCAGCCCCAGCCCCCGTGGTTTTCCATAGAGGTGACATTGTACCTGACCCTGTCCTTCCTTCTTTCGTCCCCATTTCTCTTCCTCGATGGTCTTTGGGTCCCCCGTCCATCCCCGCCATCATTCCCAGCCTTTACAGAGCAGCTCAGTAACCCACACGCAGCCCAGGGGTCATGGGCGCGGCCAGCCACCAGTCAGACCTGAAGCCAGTGCCTCACCCCATCCCGCACCCGACCCCACACAGCCCGCTGGGTCAGAGTGCACAGGAAGCGGAAGTTCCTGGACCCGCAGCTCTAAGACACAGCAGGGACAGGGATGTCCCCGAGGTCCCTAGCACAACACCTGCTTCCATCCACAGACGGCAGTCAGCAGAAGGTCCCCTGGAGGCCGGGGCAGCGCTCCAAACCCCCCCCCCTCTTCTGCTCCAGAACAGGCCGGTGACAAACAGCTCATCCAGTATTTGGAAGTGGCCTGATTGGCCTCAGTGGGAGCCACCAGCCTCCTGTGGGTTTTGGGGTTTTCATTCCAAAAGCAAACAGGGAAAGGAGACCGGCTTTGCAAACGGAAGCCTCTGCTCTCAGGGAACAGCATGGGCCTGTGTGGGACCCCTGGGCTGGGGAACAACGTAGGTATGGGGGCCTCAAAGTCTGCCCTGGTGACCAGACAGTGGCTCCCTTGCCCTGGGTCCCTGGATGCCAGCTCCGTGTCCTGAAGCCAGAGCCCCATGTTAGGACCTGGTTAAAAAACCAGGGCTGGAAGCCAAAGGGCTTCTCTCCTTGGACAGGCGGCTCAGAGGACCGTACCCAGTCCAGGACCTTCCCAGAGGGCCTACTGTGTGCCCCCGGGCCTCCTTGACTTGGTGGAGTGAGTGCCTGGGGCCCCGTTTGTCACTCCCTGGTGGTGTGCACAGGGGTCTGCACAGCTCTGCATGTTGGCTCCCGGGTCTGCAAAGTGGGACTTGGGGCCACGCAGGATTCCGTGAGAACACGTACATGAGGTCCTGAGCATGTGGCAAGCGCCTGGAGGACAGCGGCACCCGAACTCGTTACTGAGAAATGGACTCAGATCAATGAACCGAAGACCTACTATGTACTGGGACCCTGGGAGCTTCGGAGATGTCAGGCCGGGCCAGAAGCCATGGGGCTTGCTCTCCAGACGAGCGCTGGGGCTGCCGCTAGTCCAGAGTTGAAGGCTGGGCTGGCCCTCAACCTAAGCAGCCCTGGCAGCCTCCTCGATGTCACACACCCCTCGGGGTCCTGGGAAGACTCGTAGCCTCAGGGAAAGGTACAAGGCTTTGGGGTCTGGCTCCGCCCCTGCCTGATGTGTCACTGTAAGCACCAGCTCCGTAGCGTTCCCGCGCCTGAGTTTGCTCATCTGTCAAAGGATAGCAGTGACCCATCAGGACTCCTGCGAGGCCGAGCTGGACCACGCTACCCCGTGTTCACCACGGACCTCGGAGCCAGGCCAAGGCTCCGGAAAGGGCAATGTTGTCTCCTGGTCCTCCTCCTCCCACCTTGTCATTCTTCTCTAACGTTTAGGCATAAGTATGTCTGAAATCCTTGCCGTGGTGACAAATTTGGTGGAAAATTACCTTCAGGGCTACACAGATAGTGGACACCGGATTTGAATAAATGAGCAGGCTGCTTTGATAGTGAGGAGCAGGGAGGAGAGTGAGTCACCAGCCCTGGGCGGGAGGGAGACCAATGGAAGAAACAGAACGTGGGCCAAGGTCATTAACTCCTGTTTGCTGTTTGAAGATCAGGACTCTCTTTAGACATCTGCAGACTCCCCTTATGCCCTGGCAGCAGAAGTCTCTAAGTTCAGTTCCTTACCCAGCTGCACCAGTAGGAATGTTGGAGGGAGAAAGAGGTGGGGGGAATGAGATGTTCAGGTAGCCTAGCCTGACTTTAAATGAAAGAAATATATATCACTATAGGAATCTTATGTCAGTGATGTAACTTTTTGTTTTTCTTATGAAAAGTTGGGGGGAAAACCAGGAGCCCATCAGTAGGATTTTTTTAAAAATAAATCATGGTTTTAAATTGTGTGTTGCTTGTTACACAGCAATAGCTAGCTGATACAGCATTCACTCTGGCCAAAAAGAAAAAAAAAAGGATTTTTTTTTTTTGGATTCCCTACACTTATTTTATACATTAGTATTACTTCAAATTCCAGATTTGTAAAGTTCACCATGATATTTTTAATGTTTTCAGTCACTAAAGTCTTTATCCACCTCCACACTTATCATTCTTAAACATTTAACTTTTGAATAAAATATTATTCTAAGGAAAAAAAATTCACTGCTAACAAAAGTCTGAAGATCATTGTCGCTGACCTGCTCGTGTCCCTGTGTCTGACACAAGAGGGAAGGGGCTTGCTGAAGGGTATGGAGCAGAGAGGGTGTGGCCGGGACTGGAGCATCCAGCCTTCCAGACCCGCTTCCCTGCACCTGGAGCATCTGCCTCTGCCACCCACCGAAGCCAGCATCGGAGGCCCCCAGACAAAGGAGATGAGCCTTCTCCAGGTGGAGGCCCCTCTGAACCTGCAGAGGACAGCCTCTGCCTCCTCCTGCCTCCTCCTGCCTCCACCTTGATGGTTCATTTCTTGCACACCATAGGCAGATAATAAATATCTGCCAGATGTCTCTATGAATAAATCATCACTCCCCAGAGGGGCAGGTTGATGGTGCACTGCTGGGCCCGAAGCTTCCCACAGCGAGATGTGCAGAAAACGGGTCCTTTTCCTTCCTCCTCCTCTCCCCTCCCCTCCCCCAGGATGCCCACGTGGACAGGTGTCTGTGGGAGGTCTCTTTTCAGCTCCGTGGGAGAGATTTTAGTGAATCCTGAAAGAAAGCAGGGGAAGGACAAGCAGCCAGAGGCCCAGGGCTGGAGAGGCCCAGGGCTGGAGAGGCTCAAGGCTGGAAAGACCTGTGGGTGAAGTGCACCCAGCCACACTGGCGGGGGTGCAGAGGGAATCTGTGGTCCCTTTGCCCTCTCAATGCCAGAGGCACCCTGGCTCCTGCCAGGCGGAATTCCAGCCAGCTCTCCTCAAACCCCGGGCTCTCTCTCCCACTCGGACTTTGCAGATCTCTCTCCCAACCAGGGGCTCCCCTGCTCCTCTCGACCGCGCTCTCTCTTCACCTGGTCTCAGCTCCCACATCACTTCTTCCAGAAAGTTCTCCCACTGTGACGCCAAGTCTGGGCTCAGTGACACTCCTGTGTTCCTACCAGTAGGGCTCCTGACATGCTGGGTGTTATTTGTTGGTGACTGGCTGTTTATTTGTTGATAGACCTCACTAGATACCATTCATACTTTGCCCACGTCTGTCTGTATCTCTGGTGCTTAGCAAAGTGTTTGGCATACAGTAGGTGCTTAATAAACATTCTGGAAAGAAGGAAGGAGGGGGAAGGGAGGGAGCAAGCAAGGAAGGGAGAGAAGGAGGGAAGGATCAGTGGGTGAAGGAGGCAGGGGAGGAGGACAGACATAGATTCTACCTTCTACCCTTCAGCATTCTGGAAGCTTCTAAGAGCCCTGTGACCCTCTGGGGTCACCAAACTCATATTTATAATCCAACAAGGCCTCAGTATCTCTCCCTGGTGCGTCTAAATAATGCATGTATAATTCCATACAAAGCAGATCTGCCCTGGCCAGGTCCTGCCAGCCAGCCACAGGGACTGCGGAGATTCAGACAGGGTCACCGTGTCGGAAGCTCCCAAGGGACTGAGGGAGAACAGGCACAGAGCAGGGGGACCTTCCCCAGGTCACCTGGTGAAATGTGACCGGCATCAAGTAAACTTTCAAAGGTTCTGATAGCGTGACCATCGGGGTTGAAAAGGCTGAGCAAACTGTAGCCGTGTTCTCCACAGAGAGACCCAGGCGGGCCAGGGTGTGATTCGCACCTTTGCTGAATTTCCTGGTGCTTTACAGTTTACAAAGCTTTCCTGTGCTCTTCGTTTGATCGTGCCACCACCCCGTGAGGGATACAGGGCATTTTGCAGACCAGAGAGTCAGGGTTTGGGGACGTGAGGGGCAGTGCCCGAGGCCACACGGATCATGAGTCCCAGGGTCCCATTGGGGCAGGGGAACAGTCACTTCCCGTGGTTTCTGAACGTGTGCAACTAAGACCAGGCTGCAGGCAGTTCATCTGCGAGACCCACGTCCGGTCCATGGGGCGTCTTCAGGAAATGAATCCAATTGAAAGCACAAAAGTTATGTGCAAAGATGGGGCCACAGCATTTCACTGGGAAATTAGGACGACCTCAGAGGAGGGGACGGGACCCAAGGTACAGCACAGTACCTCCCAGGAACTGTTCTGTCCATTGTCGACTGTGGTTAAGAACAGCAGTTATGGGGGCCAACATGTTCCTTATCTAAGATCAGCGCTCCCAGCGAAACGCTGCAGAAGTGGGCAGAGACCCATCAAGGAACACAATGAATTTGCTGCGAACCCACAAATGACTAACAGGAATCAACCGAGGACTCTACTGAGGAACACCCGTACTTTGGTCAAATTAGTTTTGTTTTTTTTTTTAATTTCATAATTTTTTATGGAACTTAAATTTTTTAAGGTATGTAAATTTTTCTAGTTCCCTCTTTAAACATCTCTCTTTAGGAGCAAGCCATTTTGATCAGAAAAAAAACGAGATGAAATTCAATTTGCAGAAAAACAAAAGTGTCATAAAAATACTCACTGTTCTTTTTCACTGAAGGAAGGCAGAGCAAAGAGAGAAAGGAAAAAAAATGAATAAAGTTAGGTGAGAAATCTGAGAGCAACACCAATACTATCTGGATGCAACAACCACACAGTTCAGATTATGAGGACCTACTTCCTTTGTTTTTTTGGTCACTGTCTTATTTCAGCTTCTCTAACACAGGGTGGCTTCTACGTAGGGCTGCGAGATGCACATCTGTGATGAAATTGACCAATCGGGTCTGCTTTCTCATTAACGGAAACAATCATTCTTAGGTTTGAATAATTGGGCACTGTAGAGAAATCACTCAGTGACAATCTGATCACTCACTGTCTGCTTGATTTTGATTGTTTCAAACACTAGGGGGTTAGGGTCACATTAGGTAGAGCCAGGAGACTTAAACAGCAGAATGCACAGAGCCCTGGTTGAGGGAAGCAATTTCTTCCATTCTAGAAAGGAAAGCAATCCCCCATCTCCTGCATGGGCAACCAAGGGAGGTGACACCCTGTGTGTGTCTCAGTTCCCTCCTCCCACCAGATGTCACAGCTAGAAATACCAACTTTTAGGGACCCTCTCCCCACACACTCCCCACACGGGGAAATAAGCCATTGTTCCATCAAGCTAGAAGCAGGCACATTTTTATTTTTCTTTCAAACCCCACGTTGCTGGCTTCAGACACAATCAAGTTCAAGGATGCGGGAAGAGCAAGACATCTGAAAACCACAAAAGCAATAAGTGTCTTTGGCCAGCCAGCGGTTAATGAGGACTCGATGCCTTCATTTACTGGAGAAAGGAGAATTGGCTGCAGTAGCTCAGCCCCCCTGCAGCAGACCAGAGAGCATGTGCGACAGCTGTAATTCCCCCATTAGCATTTATTGAAAAATAATTTCAATATCTGGAGAAGATGCAGCTGGGGACATTCAGAATGCCAGGACATTCCGCGGGAGCCCAGGAGAACGCTAATGAAGTTGCATCCAGACCGTTGGAAGAATTCTGATTTAATTGTAAGGCAAATTGTTTGGCTTCATATCCACTAAAGTAAACTCTGATGGATGGGATTTTAATTAGCTGACATTTCTTAAATAAAATAAAGACCCCATCCCCGCTCCAGGCTACTGTTTATCTTACAGAGACACACTTTTTAGCTGACGGAATATTTTCTGCGAAGTAAGTTTGGCTGCCAGAAGACATCACGGGAGGGCTTTGGAGACTAGAAGTTTCCTATTGATAAAGAAACCAGCAGGGTTCAGCAGTGTCTTCAAAACAGTGGAGCTCTTAGATCTGGAGAAGGTTTTAGGTAAAGGTAGAAGACAGAAGGCTTTTTTTTTTTTTTTTTTTTTTGCTCTGAGTATGTGGTGGACAGAAAAAATCCTTCCCCAACCTATAGTCAGGTGCTACACAAATTAAAGCAAACCTTTTAAAATGCAGCTTGGGACTTGCTAGAAAGTAAGGGGCTTTTCTAAGATTTTGCTGCTTTTCAAAACAAACAAACAAAACAGACTTCATAAAAATACATTTTTTTTCTCTCTTCCAAAGATATTCTTGAATGAAAAAGAAAATGTTAAGTCATCGCCTGGGGAAAGGGTTTGCAAGTTGTCTATCCAACAAAGGATTTTTTTTTTTTACCTAAAATGTTTTAAAAAGTGCAAAACTTAACAACAAGAAAGCAAATAACCTGATTTTTTTTTTTAGTAACTTGATATTTTAAATGGGTAAAAGATTTAAGCGGGTACTTCAACAAAGAGGTTAGATAGATGACATTAGGGAAATGCAAATTAGAAGCCATAACCAAATGCCACTGTACACTCACTGGAATGGTTAAAATTGGAGAGTCTGGCCCTACCCAGTGCTGGGGAGGTGGTAGAAGAGCTGAAACTCTCATACGTCCCTGGCGGGAGTTTTTAAAAATGGCACAACTGATTTAGAAAACCATTTGGCAATTTCTTGAAAAGCTAAATTAATACCTCCCAAATGGCTGGGACATTCCACTCCTAGATAGTTCCCAAGAGAAGTGAAAAGCACTTCCTACACAGAGTTTCGTTTGTGCTAGCCCAAACCTGGGAACAGTGCAAGTGTTCACAGTGGACAGAGGTGGTCTATTCACACAGTGGAATACTACTCTGCAAGAAAAAGGGACCAGCTCTTCATATGTAAAGAAATAGAGTTGGCTCCAAAATAATTACTCTGAGCAAAAGAGGCCAGCTATGTCTCCCCTCTCTCCAAAAGTACATATTGTATGATTCCATTTGTATCAAATTCTAGGAAAGGCAAATTAATATATAGTTAAAGAACAGACATTAATGACTACTTGGGGATGGGCAAGTGGGTAGGGGAGCCCAAAGGAGGGACTCAGAAGTGGCAGGGGCTGTTTTGGGACAGAAGGAAATATTTATTATCTTGATTGTTCATTATCTCGGTTTTATGGGTACACACATTTGCTTAAAAATTATCAAGCCGTACTTTACCTTACTTTAGAAGGTGTGCTCTGGAAGTTACATTAGTTAGGTCTTTACAAGACGACTGAGAACAGAAAGGAAAAGAAAACCCAGAAGCTGACCCCAGACCAACAGCAGCACAGTGTTCTAGTGGCACATTGGTGAATGTTCAATGACATTTTCTCAGGCCAAAGCCCCATTGTGAGTGATTTCAAGTGCCAAGAGGAGGTCGTACAGGGTTGGGGGAAATGGGCAATAGATACCACATGATAAGTATTTCTTCCACCCAGGAATCAGAGACATAACTAACACAGAGTAGCAACCTGTACTAAGAAAAAAAATTAAATGATTGATTTTGAGTGTTTGTCACTGTTGTGTAAAATGCAACTTAATTGTAAATTTACAAAACTTGATTTTTTTGTGTGATGGCAGTGCTTCATAAGAAGGTTGCAAAAACCCTGCAAATTTAACATCGGCTCTCATGCACCCCTGTGGTACAGGTCAGCGCACCACGGGGTCAGGTAATTATTGGATACAGAATGTGAAGTTCCTGCCTGTTAAAAGAAGTTATTAAATTTCAATTCACATTAAAAACGGAGCAAGGGGCTGGAAACTCAAAAAGTGGTTAAGAATATACTAAAAAAATATGAGAAAGAATTTTTAGAAGTAAAATAGTTGACTATGAAAATTCTAAAACTGGATTAGGAAGTTCTAGTGGAAGGTTGGTGGGCTTGAAGATAACAGGTGGCCAGGATAACATTGAGAAGAAAGGCAGCCTCCAATAACCTTAGGGAGAAATGGGTGAAGTCATTGTGCTTGAAGCTTCCCACACACAGAACAATAGCAGAGGGGGAAATGCCAGCAACACATGAGCTCATTCCAACATGACTGACCTTAGAGAATGCACATTTCCCTCACGTATCCATGAGCATGTTCTAGTGCATATGTCACATCTTTTTTTTTTAAATTTTTTTTTTAGTTGTGGACAGACATAATACCTTTATTTTATTTATTTGTTTTTATGTGGTGCTGAGGATCCAATCCAGTGCCTCAGACATGCTAGGCAAACGCTCTACCAACTGAGCCCCAGCCCCAGCCCCTCAGAATGTCAAATCTTAACCTGCATCAGAGAGTCAGCCTCATCCAAAGCACATTCTCCAACACCATGCAATTAGAGATTCATAACGATGATCATAAATGAACGATCCCCGAAGAGCCAGGAAAGTTTGAGTGTGCCTGCAGACCGCTCTTGGGTTAAAGAAGAAAGACTTAAAATACTTGGAAATGGGAAATAATGAGAACGCTGTCTGCCGAAGCTTGTGGGATAATGCAGATGAGAAGCCTCGTGAATCCTGTATCATAATTACTAATAGTGGGGAGAGAGGGCCGTCAGGAAGATGTGATCAACACAATAAGCCCAAGAAATGGGCAAGGGTGTTGATCGGAGGTCAACAGAAGACACTGAAGGAAGAGTGAACCTCAGGGCAATGTTAAATAATGGGGGGGGGGAGGCAAACCCTTCCCTTTTCAATCTTCTTCCCAGCCTATGATCACCTCCAGGAGAAACGCTCAGATTGTTGCTAATCAGTCTTGGATATGTGTCTGTGGCTTGCCAAGTCCCTTGAGAGAAAGTGGGAAAGGGCTCAGAACCTTGGAGGGGCTGCTTACTGTGTAACAACGTATAACATTGTTTCTTTTCTTTTTTCTTTTTGCAGTACCCGGTGTTGAAGCCAGGGGCGCTCTACCACCAGCTCCATCTCCAGCCCTTTTGACTTTTATTTTGAGACAGAATCTAGCTAAATGGCTCAGGCTGACCTTGAACTTGGGGTCCTCCTGCCTCAGCCTCCTGAGAGGAAAGGAGGGCACCCACTGATGTCCTGTTAATAACCTTGTTTCTTTTGATTGATTGTCTTCCTGGTTTTGCCCTTTGCTGTGGGTAGTGAACTGGTTAGTCACTTACATCCACTGGCCACCTAAAATGACCTTGTTCAACAAAAGTGTTTTGCAAGGGAGTGCATTTAGAGAGGACAAGGACTGCCCTGTGGTAGCGATAAGGTAGCAGTTGTGAAGCGGGTACCCTGACGGCCATGTTTAGGGATACTCTGCTCTCCAGTGGGAAAGGATCTCTGCTGAAAATCCTCCCCACACAACTTGGGTGAGCCGCAGTCATTAGGAAACCACCACATTTGTTCCTTCCACCAAAATGGTCACTTCTCATCTGTTCTTCCTAGTATCTAAACTCTGCCCGTGGCCCTAAGATGCCTCCCAACATACCCCACAAAGGACATAAAGACACAGAGGTAGCCAGGTGTGGTGGCCACGGCTGAGTCCCTGTGCAAACCTACTTACGCACTGTCTATCAACGCTCCAACGATTAAATTAAGCCCAAAGTGATAGGATGCCTTGAGGGACCCCAATTATATTTGGGGGACTTTTTGGAGCTATCTGCTGATCAGATAATGAGGACCGTATTGGCTGGAGGATCCTGGAGCTGACCAGACCACCAGACGCCATCTTGAGATCAAGATGACACTTGAGACACTGCCAGTCAGAGTGGGCCTGTGGGGGCGTTGGGGACCTCCCGTCTAGCCTGGCTGCCTTATTTGATGAATGAGGAAATCGAGGTCCAGAAGGAAGGAGAGTGTGGCCTCTGGTCACCCAGTGAATTGGCCCAGACCCAGAGCTGGGCCCAGGTCTGTGTCTGTCACCAGACCAAGTCTCTCTCTCCCGGGCCACCTTTAATTCGGGGCCTGGAGCTCGGTCTTCTAACCTTGCGCCTTTAACCCTTGCAAAGCAGCCACGTCAGGGACGCTTCTGGAGGAAAACTGCCCCCGGGTTCCTTCCCCCCACCCCAGGGAAGGAAAAGGGAAACCCTGAGACTCACTTGGACTGCAGGGGCCGGTCGCTGGGGTACATCCATCGGTTGGCGCTGTTGCTGACCACGGTGTCCGTCATGGTGGACGGCGGGTGCTCCTGGAAAACAACCCAGAGAGGATGTCACCCTGTCACTCTGTGCCATACAAAGGAACTTTATCCACATCTCCATTCTCCAGATGGGGACCCTTGGGCGCTGCCTGGGGACGCTGTGGACCTTCGACACAGGCAGCCTCGGTCGCTGAGGGTCTGCCCTCAAAGAGAAGGACAGGACTCTAGTCCCACGGGTCCTCTGTTTCCCGGGTCCTGGTGTGAGTGGCCTGCTCCTGCCATGCTGTGCTCGGGATTTGATGGAGGTCGAAATGATGGGGCTCCCAACTTGAATCTCCAGAAATCCAAGCCCCCGGAAGCCTGTGTTTACTTCCTAAGTCGCACGCGTTGGGTGTGTCATTATAGCAGTGGCAAGCTGGCTGGGGCCGACTCTCTGTGCCTGTGCTTGCCCTGGGGCCACTTCTGCTTCACAGAGTGACCAGGGGGGTCTTGAGAAAGCGGCTCCTAGCTTGTAAGAACAGCCCCCACCACGGCTAGACCCAGAGAGACGGTTCTGACATTGACTGTGGGGATGGGTGTGAAACTGTGGATATTCCAGAATCCACTGGCTGGTCCACTTTAAAGGGGTGAATTGAATGACACGGGAATTATACCTCATTAAAGCTGAAAATGGTACGTTACTTTGGAAAATGCTTTGGCCATGTCTATTAACGTCTATTAATGTCTACTCTGTGACCAAGAATCGTGCTCAGGTTATATATCCAAGAAAAATGGTGCTTGTATACTAAGACAAGTAGAGGGTATTCACAGAAAAAAAAAATTTGGGTGGGCGGGGAATAGCTAAAAATTGGAATCAACCCCGGTTCCACTGCAGAAGAGCAGAGAGATGGAGGGTGGTTCCATCATATTGTGGACTGCTGGTCAGTGCTCACACACAAATTCCTGGTAGCCTTGAAACCCTGGTGGCAAATGCCTATAATCCCAGCGGCTTGGGAGGCTGAGGCAGGAGGATCGTGAGTTCAAAGCCAGCCTCAGCAAAAGTGAGGCATGAAGCAACTTAGTGAGACCCTGTCTCTAAATAAAATACAAAATAGGGCTGGGGATGTGGCTCAGTGGTCCAATCCTCCTGAGTTCAATCCCTGGTACCCCCCACTCCCGCAAAAAAAACCCTAAAAAACCCTGGATGGATCAGGAGGACATCAGGTTTAGTGCAAGAAGTGAGGCTGAAAGCAAACACACTATTTGATAGTATTTCCCTGAAAGTTAAGAAGATAGAGCAAATGGCTCACTAACTCTGGGGAGATTATCAACTGGGAGGGGACATGGGGGGTGAAAATATTCCGGTTCCTGGTCTGGGTGGTCACAAACTGGGTGTACACGTCTGCAGAAGCCATTTAAGCCAGTGTTCCCCATGTCCTTCCCTTTGCCCCCAAAGGTAAGGAGCTCCAGTCGCTCTTTTGCTCAAGAGTCTTCTATGGATCCCATTTGCTCCTAGAATCAAATCCAAACCCCTCGGCACGGCCCAGCTCCCTGTGGCCTCCCTGCTCCAGAAAGACGTGCTCTTTCTGGAACATTCCAGCACTTTCCCATGCATTCGCTCTGCCGGGGACCCCTTCCTGCAGACACCTGCCCAGTGCTCGAGGCCATCAGGAAGGTCTCTTCTCCCCAGAGAGGCCTCCCTGGCTGCTCAATTCATTTACTTTGTGCTTTTTTAATTAAAAAAAAAATTAATAGATGTGTTTGAAGAACGCATACCTAAATGCATAAACGACATAAATCCTACAAACGAGGGTATCGGGGAACAGATGAGCTTCCGTCACCCCCCGTGGCTGCCTATTTTCGGCTCTGCTGGCAGGTCAGCTGCCATCCACTGTGAACACAACCCCCGACCAGAGGCCGCGGTCGTCTTGGTGCCTGCTGGCCCCTCCGTCCACCCTGCCCATGGGCTACTGTGGATCCTTCAGTTCAGTCCATTTCAGACGCCCCCTTCCCCCGCCTCTCCCCCCAGGTTCTCTTTACTCTGATTTACTTTCCTTCGCAGCTCCCTATGATGGTAATTTATTTTCAAATTTGGCCGTTTGCTTGGAGTCTGAGTCTCGCTGCCAAAACAGAAGCCCCTGGCAGAGCTCCTGATGGGTCTTGCTGCTCGACTCCCGAGGCCCAGCACAGTGTCTGCACACAGAAGGCGGAAAACCGGGAGGGTCTCCTTCACCGTGGGCATCGGGAAGCCAGCCAGGCCGAGGTCCCCTCACTATGGAGGTCACGGAAACAGAAGGGGGATGGGCGTGTTCGGGGGATGCTGGTCCCCTGCAGCTCCTGCTCCCTCTGAAGCTGAAGGGGTGACAAGGGAAGGCCAACAGCCGAGCCCCTGCCCTGCCCTGCAGCCTCCGGATCATCCTCTTTGTGTGGGGGAAGGTGCTGGGGGAGAAGACCCCTCCTGAAAAGCCATTTCCTGGGTTCCTATGTGGGGGGACATAATCTTCCCAGATTAATGCAGCCATTTGGCTGTTGCTTGCATGTCAAAAACGGAAAGAAAGGAGAGAGAGAAATTTCCTGTTGTGAAGGAAATTTGCTGAGAAGAACCTTTAATGTCTCCTTATTGCTGTTGCCAGAGCTGAGCGGCTTCCCTGCCCCCCTGGGGACCCCTGGCTCCTGTTGGGCCTGTGAGTTTCAGCTGGTTTGAACCAGAGTCTGCAACTGGGTGGCTCCCTTCTTCCAGCAGAGGGGAGATGTGGCCCTTGGGGGACCCTGGAAGGCAAGGGTCCGTCCTCTCCTAGGAACTCTGTCTCCAAATCCTGCTGCCCTGGGGGCAGAGCCCTCTCGTGCATTTAGTCACCCCCACACACAGGTCCCACTAAAATTCCATCTGCCAAGTTCAGACCCACAGGCCAACCTCCCAGGGGAAACTTCCCAGCTCCGTCCCCCAGGCCAGGAGCCACCCTGGACAAACAAGGCTATTTCACGGTGGCCAAGTTCAACATCCCTGGACTGGACTCTGTGACCAGTGCTCGCCCCCATCCCACACCAGGAGGGGAAGATCTGAGCCAAACAACAAGAAAAATAGCTTGGGATGGCTGGGAGGCCCTGGGAGGGCTGTGGGTGGCCCCTGGGGACCCCCCTACAGCAGGCGCACACCCCCAGCCTCCAGGGATGTTGGCCACTCCTAGGAGCCAGTCCCAAGGAGCTGCCTGGCTCAGACACCTGGAAGGCACAGCCCAGCTCAGAGCGGGACAGTTCTGGGATGCCGTCCTGTTCCAGGGCTCCCTGGGGACTGGGCTGCACTGAGGTCCTGTCTCCTGGCCTCCTCTGACCCACGGCCTGTCTCCCTCATTCCTTGCGGGTCCTGCTTGGAGTATCTGCGTATCTATCGCTGGCCCAGGAAGCCCATCTCAGGTCCTGCTCCTAGACGGCGCGACGGCGCGGGCGGGTTGTCAGGAGAGCCAGGGACCCACGGCCACGTGCTCCTTACAGCTCTGGGCAGCCACTGAGCCGTTCTCCAACCTGACAGCCAGGGACCGTAGGTGTCCCACCTGCCTGCAGATGACACTCTGGGAAGGCCAGCCACGCTCTCAGGAGGGAGGGTGAGTTAACAGGGGTGGGGACAGTCAACGGTGAGTGCCTGAGGTCCAGCGCCCCAGCCTGTGCCCACTGCCCACTACAGAGAAGCCCTCAATGACAGAGGAGCCCCGGACTCTGTGGGGGACAGAGGAGGAAACCAGCCACCAACAGCAGAAATAGAAGACGTGTCAGACACAGACACGGTTTCCAAGCCGCTTGACCTCAGGAACTTGGTGTGACTGAGCTCAGGAGGTGAATCCCCACCTGCAGTCCCCGACACACAGGAGGGACTTCGGAAAACGGCAGTTAATTTCTTTTTCCTGCTTCTCCTATAGTTGATACCAGCAGTAAAATGAGTGATTATTTCTTGAACATCTACTATGCACCAAATTCCATGCCCGCCTTATTGCATTCATCTTTATAATTCTCATTTGACAGCTCAAGAACTCAGGCTCAGAGTGCTTAAGCCACCTGCTCAACATCACACAGCTACTGAGTAGCAGAGCCAGTGTGTTCCTTCACTTCTCTGTCATCCCTGCACGGGCTTGGCTTGTTGGGTCCTGGTGAGCAGGTGGGCATTGCCAGCTATCCAGTCCTGACTCTCTGTCCCCTGGCTGGATTCCCACCTCTCAGCCTCAGAAAAGAAACAGAGACTTGCCCAGCCTGTCCCCTGCCAGGTGCCTGTGAGAGCTGGTGTGCTGCAGCCTGGGCAGGCCCGGGGCACTGGCTTCCATCCAGTCCTGCAGCTGCGACTTCAGACAGTGAAACGTGAACTGCAGCTCTGGGAACCAGGGCTCCTCCCCAGCCCGCAGCCCCTGCAGCCCCCCAAGCCCCCCAGATGCCCTAGGGGAGCAGTGACAATCGGACCCTCTACGTCAGCTCACAGTCATGTGGAGCACCTTGCGAGCCTTGTCTTCTTCTTGCCCCGTGGTGCAGGTGGGGTGACTGAGCCAGGGAGAGGTGGAGCAGGCTTCCCCAGGCCCTGCCTCCAGTCCCTCCGGGGGCCATCTAAATGGCTGCCTGGGTGACGGAACATCGGTATGGGAGAGAGCTGCACTGCTGGAAGGGGGCTGATGCTCTTCAGAACTGACGTGAAGGGACCAGCAAGGTAAAGTGTCTAGTGAGGAGACCACACCGTGGGGCTGTGAGCCTTAGTGCCACCCGCATGGTCCTGGGAAACACAGAAGGATGTGGCCGTGGTGTGTGGGGCCGGGAGCTGGGGCGGAGCTGCAGGAGCCTCCTGAGGACAGAGCCTTCGATTCGCGCAGCCACAGGATAAGGCACCTCCTCGAACACAAGTGATCGTCTGCCTTTACGAAATGCAATTTAAAAAGAAAAAGGTGCTTCTGGGGCTGCCCCTTGCCAGGAGGAGATATGAGGCCTTTCCGTGACCTCTGGGAATGGCCATGACCTTCTGTGTCTCCTCCGTTCCCGCTTGTCTCTCTGGGCCTCTTCCTCTACTGTTCTCTCTGCCTGGAGAGGACCTTCCT